TAATTCACAACATCAAGGACAGGGAATTAGTAACAACACAGAGATAGTAAAAAAATACTTTCAGCTGTTGTTCTAAATATTCTTTGTACTAAAAGGCTAATTTTAAAGGAAAAGCCTTGTCGTGGTCTAAATCACATCTCCTGTTTCCTACGGATTACTGCAATTAAAATGGCGACATCATTAGCTGCAAAGACTCTATTTTACCAAAGGTTATGAAAGGAGCAGATGTATATCTGTGCAGTTAAAGTCAAGCATCTGTGCTGAAGACAAGCAGATACACTGACCAGTGAAAAACTGCATGAGAAATATGGACCCTCTTGCAGCTGGAAGTGTTTCACACAAGTGATAGGGATGAAAATACAAATAATGGACAGCAATTATCCTGTAAACAAAAACATTACCAGAGAAGAAGGGGTGACACCTGTAACCATTAGTTGCAAAGGAAGAGCAGCTGTGCAAACCCGCAGCGACTCAGCCTCTCCCGTGCAGTCCAGGTCAGCGGCACAGCCCAGCAGCCAGACCCCAGTGACTTTGCTGTGCCTCTGTTAGCAAGAGCTGAGTTCCAGCTCAGCAAATCCTCACAAGTTACACACTTGAGCCACTGCTGACCGTGGGGCAGAGCTTCACCCTGCCTGGACTGCAAGGAAGAGCACAGCCCCCACTCCCAAGCCTCTGCTTTGGAGCTTATTTAAAGGCAAGGTGGTGACCAGCTGTGGTGGAGGTCCCAGGGTGCTCCTTACAACTGTTAGGCTTTAGTTCTGGTGCCTGGCCAAAAGCCAGGCTTAGATATTAACGCCTTTGTCTAACTCCAGTTTCCTCCAAGGAAGGATAGAGCAGACTTGCTTCATTCTTCACATTGCCCTCTCTTACAGTGTGTTCAAGGGGCTGAACTGCTCAAACTGCTCTCCATGACCAGATGAGAGATCTTGGCTGCCTTTTCCTTCCCCCTGTTCCACTCTTTTCCCTCAGCTCTTGCTTCTGATCCTGGATGCTGTTCCTTATTTCTCTTGACTTAGAATTAATGACCCCCCACAAGAGTATTTGAATCCAACACAAGAGAGAGGGGGAAAAACCAGCCAAAAAAACCAAAGCCAACATGCACCCCAAAGCACATTAATCTCAAAATTCTGTGAGGAGTAGAGTCACATTCACTTGATAAATAGTTGCTTTTCATAGAAACATTGTGTGTCTGACAGAGATAACATCAAGTTTATTTCTTCTTTAATTTTGAGCCAGCAGAAAGAAATTACACTGAGCCCAAAGAAGCTCAAAATTCTTTAACAGTATTGTACTGCCCCAATGAAAAACTTGTAAAAATAAATCCTGACACTGCTTCCATACAATAAAAATCAGTTCGTTAAGACACTGCACTTCCATTGGACTCAATACTCATCTGCAACTGAGTGACAAAGAGATATGCATAAATACAAAGCAATTTCTGTTGCTTCAACGTTCCTATTTAGTGCCATAACAGATGCAAGATGTAAAACCAAAGCAATATTCATGTCAGAAATTTTTTTTGGACAGACTTGGCTACTATTTCCATTACCAGTTTTGCTAAAATAAATAAGGCATAATTACAACTACACTTTACTTTCTTAACACACAAACATATGATTAGTCAAAAATCCACCCAGGAGTGACTTCTGGAAAATTGGGAATACAGACTTCAATGGTTGTCTAGGAGAAGGACTGTTTATAGTTTAACCTTCAGTTCACCACAGTATGACACTTATCAGATAAGGTTAAATTTCAATAAAATGAGCACAGGGAAAGAGAACAGAGAGCTTGACTGCATCATGAGAGCAGCAGGGCTGTTCATATCTCCAGTAGTGAGGATAAGGCAAGTAAATTGTTCAAATAATAAGAAATATTTCAGTTTATCCAGCTGCAGAGACCTTGGCTGATTTTAAAAGGCAAGTGGCAATTATTTTGTTTTCCTCCTTTAATCCTGTTATTGATGAGTATTTTGGCCTTACAGAGTACACTTGATATTAGAAATTATATATTATGGATGAGGAATAAATAAGTTAGATTATTTTAAAAAATCTCCAAGAGACTTCCAGCCAACACTGCAACTCCTGTCTTAAGCAAAAAACCTATTAAAGTCTTCTGCATAAGAATTTTTATTTCTATCTAATGAACATACCACATTCAATGTATTTACATTACTGTACAAACCTGTGCCATTTGCAGACATAGGAGAAGCAGAGCAGTGACCTAAATTCAGATGTAGGAACATATCAAGTTGGGTTTTGTTTTCAGTTTTTGTGCACTTCTGACAGCGCTGATTAAAGTAAAGAAGCTCAAAAGCTACTTCTATATAAAATTCAGGTAGCCACGTTTTTCTGGAACTAGAAGGTCTGAATTAGTCAATTCTGACTTTATAAGGCTGAGAAGCTTCCAAGACTTTCACTCAAAAATAATAAAGTCTGAAAGCAGAAAACATTGCCCAATCAATCCTTCTTCCACAACTTTCCCATTTGGTTTTGTCATTTCCCCAAGTCTTAATTCCAATATGTGCACTTCCGTGCTATGGAAGTAATTTGACTCATTCTTCTAGCTATCAGTCTCATGCTGTTATGCCAGAAACAGATTTTTGTGTGTGCATCTGAGGAAGCAACCTGCTAAATCATGCTTAGCTTAATGCAAGATAAACACACAGTAAGAATTGGGGTATGGTCTAATATTTCATCAGACTTCAGCTCTAGTTACTTGATTCCCCATACTGTATTGTTTGAGTGTGTATAAGAAAGTTAGCAAACACCACTTTCATTATTGACTATTTTGTTAAAATTTTTCAACAGATCCTCCATCCTCCTCCTCTCCCTTCCTTTCTTTCTGCACAACTGACCTCCTCTCAAACAGAAAGAGCCCTGCCAAACAGCAGAGACATCCATCCAGAAATACATAGGAGATGTCAGCAAATATATGTTGGGGTTACTGCAGGAAAATAATAGAAAGAACTTCCAGAAGAACTACAAAGCTGAGAACTCACACTCAGAAACTTGTCTGACTTGGTCTTCAGAGTTACTAACAGCCCCTCTTGCATACAGCTTATAGGTAGGGCAGAAGGTTGTGAAAAGTGTAATAAATACAGAGTTGCAGTCTAAACACAGTTTGGCATGAATAGAATCCTCTCCCGTAGGGCAAGAGCTGAGAATGACAGCCAGCCTTGGGGCCCGTGTGAGACTGTCACTAGGAAACTTGTGCCTTGTTCTCAGCAAAAGGGACGTCTCCAAGGTGGTTACCATGCCCTCAAGTCCCTTGAACTAGTATAGAACACACTCCAGACCCGTGGCATTTCTCATTCAATTGAAAACAAAGAATCTGATTTTATCTAAATTAATTCCGGGGCTTCCCAGAATGAAGCAATTGTTTCTCTGAGTTACTCTATTTTAGTTAGTAGATCTATTCCCCCTAAGGCCATTTGGAAGCTGGACTGAAGCATCTCTCCACTGTCAGTGTTACAAAAGAATGTCTAATCAGACAGAGTACTGAAACCAGAGCAGCAGCGTGACCATCTCAACTGCACAACAAAAGAGAAGAAATGGGAGATAGGCAAAAATACTAAATTGTCCTGCAGTTTAGAATAGAGCCCTTGGACAGCTGGCTGCAGACTGGACTGTGCTAGTTTCAGAGCCCATCATTACTGACCTTATTTAACTTGTCTTACAAATAGGCTGCACAAGGAGTTAACAGGACTTCTGTGTTCTTCTGGAACTCTGACAATCAGACAGTTTCAGGTTTCTAGCCCATACCTATGAGGCTATTGTCCAAATAACTTTTTACCCTAAAGACAGTGGCACATGCACATTAAAAAAAAGCAAACCCTGCCTTTTATCTCCTTTTAACAGTATAGTTTTAAAAAAATACACATCTCAGATTATTATTTAAAAATCTAGAGTAAAAAGCAAACTTGTTTTTAAACAGGTTATTTGATACCTTCATGATTAACTGGTTGTGTTTGAATATCAATAGATATGAGATACCCATTGATATTAAGATATGAGAACAACATTGATATGAAGTGAATGTGGTGGGAGTGTGAAGAGACAGAACAGCATTCAAGGGGTCTTGTCTCAGGCCTGTGGCAGAATCAGCAACACCTGCACATTGCTCCTGATAAACATTTGTCCAACACATTCACAGAGACCTACATCATGGAAATTCTAAATATTATTCAACCAATATAATCATCTTTATATCCTTACCATGACAAGTATTTTCTAATGTCAAACCTAAGTTTCCTTTGCCTCAGTTTAAATCTGCTCCACCAAACAGAAAAATACAGCCTTCTTTTTAGTGCTCAAAAGTATTTGAAGGTTATATCTTCCTCCAGCACCAGTCTTCCAATCTTTAGAATAAACAATATGAATTTGTTCAAATTCCCCTCAGAGGTAAGATTTTAAAATCTCTTAAGGATAATCCCTGCTGCTTTCTCTTTCTCTCCAAATTGTCCACTGCTTTCCTGAAAAGCAGTGCAAAAACCCAAGGACTCCAGCCAAGATCTCCCTAATGCTGAGCAGGATGGAACGTGTGCAGGCTGCAAGCCTTCTTAGAGATGCCAATGGCTAGGATGAGTGAACCATCCACAAGAACACAACAGGAAATTCCAGCAGTTCCTAGCTCCAATCTCTAGCAATTTGAATAGCAACAGAGTGGTTTGGGTCCAGCTTCTGTTTCAGACATTTCCATCTCTGCAAGAAAAAGAGCTGCCTGCGAGCAACTGGGTGGTTCTCTACTCACTCCATGTCTGCTTTCACTCCCAGGAACTCTTTTTTTCCATGTCTTGCATGATGAAAATGCTCCAAAGCTTTAGTAACTATTTGTGACCTATAATACTCCATACAATTACTCAACAAAAAAATCCCCATATGCACAAATAGAAGCCATTCATTCCCAGAACATTATTCAGATTACATTGCTTTACACATCTTACTCCAATGTTTTGACATTTACTTTTCAGTACACAAAGTCTGAATTTTTCTAATGCTTACCTTTCTGTGTTCAATTGAAGGCTGTGGGATGACAAGCTGAAATCCCAGCACTGCTAGGGAACTGAGAAGTCTGAGAAGGCAAACAGTGAAACAGAACAGATAATTACCACCAATACAAACCACACATCTACAATATCTTACAGGGCTTCACACTGCAAGAAGATATTTAAACACTTGAATACCATTGCTAATCAAAGCAGACTCAGTGAACTGTATGAAATGTTCTTATAAGAGTCTCTTCACAGCAGGCTCATACTTGAATGTATGAACCAGGTTCATACATAGATTTGTCCAGCTATAAAGCAAAAGTGAACCAAATAGAATCTATTGATACTATTTCATATAACTTCATGTTTAAATTTAAAAATTCCTGGCAGTGCATATTTTAACACCTCAGCATTTGGTGTGAAACTGACATACGCTTTGCAAGTTTTCTAAAGTGCTAAGAAAGAATTTACCCATCTGTGGACCACATCTGCTTCTAGCTCTGGCTCCTCATTTTACAGATGAACACTCCACCTTCAGCACACAGGAAACAGAAAATAGGTTCTTCCCCAGCTGCCTAACACTTGTGAAAATTGAATAACCTAATGGGCACAGAAGATGGAAAGTAGTGAACACAGCCCACCAGAGACTCAGGATAAGCAGCCAAGCATCACCCCAGTCCCCACATCTTCAGTCATAATGGGAAACAAGCCCAAACAAACTGTTCTGTCAAGCCTCACCACTTCAGTGACTCCTAGGAGCCTGTTACAACTCAGGCACAGTTAGCTCAGTCTTTTGTTTGCTACAATTTGCAACAGAAACTGGTTTGTCTCTTTCTAAAAAGCCCCTTCATCGGAAAGTATGGACAGGTATGGCAAACAGGACCAAGGTATCTTTATTTGTACCAGGAGCTTGACTTTTGAGTCTACAAAGAGTATGTTTCAGACCCACTATTAAGGGGGAAAGCTGCTAATGATTTTCTGAATTTCAGTGCAGAAGTAAAAATTATGCGTTTGGGTACAAATACATCTGCAAACAGACAAAATCCAGCTGCATTTCCTGTTGACAGCTCCTTCCTTTGCTCCCTCCCCAGTAACCCTTTAAATATTTCTTATTGTTTCATGTATTTTCTGAGACAGATCTCCTAAAGAGAAAGGGGTTTTTTAATACTAAGCATTTAATTACCACCAGTACAAATGTTCTTCTGCAAGGGAGGATGTTTATCTTGTGTTTTCTGTGTTTGTTCTTTGCTAATATACTGCAAAATGAACCATTAGGTAAGTACTGATTGCACATGGCCTATCATCACCTCACCATCTATGCCCCTCTCTCTCAAAGCAATAAACCAGTGAAAGGCTAGAAAAAGTCAATACTTCTTTACTGCCACATCAATTTAGGGGGAAAAGCATCAAGTCTGTCTTCAGCTCACCTGCCTCTTTTCTAAGTGTTTAAGTGATCTTCCAACTCTTCTCAATGAAGAACGACAAGCATCTAAGTAGGTGGAGTGCAGTGTCTGAAAGGCCCAGCCTACATCCTCTGCAAATTATATTTAACTTCCATCTCACAGTCTTCCTACCCACCCCTGCTCCCTTATGGCTTCTGCTCCCTATAATCCCTCAGAGCATGTCAAAGAAAGTTCAGACTTTCCATAAGGAAATGAATACTTTTATCCTCAACAGGACAGGATTTTTCTGATCAGTCTGACAGTCTACAGATTTCCATGTGTAACTTCTTCTGAAATCATGCACAAGGTTGTGAGTTCTGAGCTGAATGAGAACTGTAATCTTCAAAGCAAATTACTTACCAGATTAAAGTTGTCAGTTCTAAACAGCAAACTTTTAGTATATGTGTGATTACTCTGTGCCAGGCTTTTCCTGACCATTCTTTAAGGAGGTTGCACTGCAATCACCATCTGTATGTATGTAGCTCAGGCCAATAAAGATAGATTTTAAATTTGCTTCTGTATCTGCAGTTGGATCTGTCAGAAACAAGGGTATCAAGCTACTATTTCAAACACACAGGAAATCTGCCAGGAATACTTAAGCTATCCTGAGGTAAGCCCCTAGCTTCAAATCAGTGTGTGGCAATTTAATTTTTTTAATGTTACTTCCCTCAGCAGCTTGCTTTGGCTAAGTTCTCTGGACTAGGCTTTTTTATTTGTCATGCATGACTAACTTTAAGCCTCCCAAGCTACAAAATAAGCTTCTCCAATTTCAATGGGCTTGGTTCAGGTATCCTCACAGTGCAGAAAAGCCAAAAAGAGAACAAGTGCTTCTCAAAATAAGGCACAACTTTTCAAGTATACCTGAACAGGTGAGGTACCAATTGCAGCTGATTGGTGGCTGTTTAACTCAGGCCTCTAAGAGCCTTGCTGGTACAGCCCCTGCTCCCACTGCTAAGGCACTGTTTGGAGCCAAGCACCCAGTTTGAAGCAAAGTCAGATTTTAAACTCCCTCACTTCCTTTAACTGGCAACACCAATTGCCAATAATACAAAAACATAAAAGAGAAACTTAAATATAAACATTCATATAAACAACTGGAAAAGACTGGGATGCACAAACACAAAGCAAAGCAAAATTAGGTCTACTGTAGGAGCAGCATGAAAAATTTTGCAATTTAACACCTCATTTAGGAGCACCTCTCAGAGTTCTTCCTAGTCAGTGCAGGGAGTGTTAGCTCTGCATGAATGAAGCTAGAGGGTACCAAAGCAGATCTCTCACATTGCTGTCCCTTAGTAGCTGCATTTTATGGAGAAATATTCTGGCCAAGTGTGGATTGTCCACATACAGGTGAGCAGTACTGACTAGTGCAGTATGGCTCTTGTCTCAAATTCCCAACTTCCTCCCAAACCTGCTGAACAGCCTAAGTCTGGGACAGCTAGGGAAAACTATGCAGGTAACCTTTCAGCTGGAAAGATAACACTGGTAGTGTCAGTATTGTGTGACAGATCCATTTAGATGGAAAATCTGCCCTGGCATATCAGGAGGGTGCCAAAATTGCAATTCAAATATTGATGCCTCAAACTCAGGAGAAGCAAGGTTGGAGCAGAAGTGTTTCAGTAATTCCATCCCAAAGGCAGAGCACTCAGCTGTCATTCCTTGCAGGAGGTCAGCCTGTGTTTGTGTGGCACCAGGGCTGCCTGCCTGCTCTGAATCTGCTCGCCCAAGGACAGGACAGAACCGGACAGACCAGCTTAGGAACAGCTGAATGTTTCCTTTGTTAGCAAAGCTGTTTGAAAGGTCTTTCCTATGTTTGCCCACTGGCAAACTGTTTCAGGAATGCTTAAGACAAATCCATGAATGAATTGCAGCACAGGTACTAAAAACATGTAAATCAGCAATTTAAGCCCAGTGACTGTAAATGTACAGCCTCATCAAAAAACACAGGAACTTTCCAGTAATATAGACCATCACACTGGCACTCACTAACAGATGCTCTAAGCATGAACAAACACTGAGAACTTTCTTTTCTCACTATCACCAAAGAATGCTATGCCTGGTATGCATATACTTGAGTATTTGGTCTTGGGACAAGATTTCTATTTACCCTCCTATGATACAGACACTTTTAACAGCAGAGCAAGAGACCACTAAATTGAAATTTACTGCAGCGTGTTAAGAGCATATAAAATAAGATTTTAAATGTTTTATTGCATCACTTACCTCAAAGAAACTATTAAACTGTCTACCATGATCTTTAAATGCAAGGTATTTTGAAGTGAAAAATACCTCTTCACTGTGGTACACCACAATGACAATCACACACAAATCCTACAAAAAGAAAGGAGAAAAACAATTAACACTGCTTATTCAGTATTTCCCAGGATTTGTATAAAACTGCATACAGACCTACATTAATCATCTCTACTTCAATTCTCGGGACTCTACAGCAATTCAAACTGAATATCCAATGTCTGTTGCAGAAAAAAACTGTACACACACCATTTTTTGCAACAGGATTTCAATATTACCAAAGTGCTCTGCAGAAATACTGTGGGATGCAAAATCTTGGTTTGATTCCCAAGAAGGCAAATCTGATGTTAGACTTACTTGCCTTTTTAATTTGCATTCCTGGTATGTCACTTGTATAACAATAAAGCAAACCTCATTTAAAGTCTTGTGTTAATAAAATTCATAGAAATGAAACTGGGTTACCAGCTTCTAATGTACAGTAATGTTATTAATACACTCTGCATTTTGTGAGCAATGCAAGGATGACTCTGGGAGTGCTTATACAGTTTGCAGAAAAAACCTGAAGTGCATGTTGTTTCCTTTACTACAGATGGAAAACCTACCCACAATGAAGTGAAATGCCTTGCCCACAGTCAGGGAGGACATCTGGAGTTAAACAGCATTCTGAATAGAAATTTAACTGATCCTTATTTCTAAGTACTATCAGTGCATCATGACTACTGTGAACACACAGAAACCCTATCAGCCCTTGGGAGGATTACCCAAACATACTTTCATTTGTTTGTAAATAATCTCAAATGTTCAGACATGTGGGAACTTCTTATTTTACTAAATTTGAAATCATGTATTGGGCATCCAAAATGCACCAGGATTTTCAGGCGGGAAAGAGATCCTTGCAGTAAGGAAATACAGCACAAATCAGAAGGGCTGGTGGGAGAGTGGCAAGGAGGGAGGAAAAGAGGAAATAAAACACTATTAGAACATAAATCATACATTTCAAAACTTGGTCAACCACTGTCTGTATCTTTCCCTTTACAAGTGGTTACATGCTGAAATGCAGTGGAGTGAAGAGAAACAAGAGAACACTGCTGTTCACAGATAAAGAGCTCTCAATTTCTGTCAGACAGCCAGATAATTGAAAACTGCCTTGAATGGGACAGGACTGACAAGAACGTAAGAAATGTGCAGTTAGACAAAGTACAGATCCTGCTGCTAGGAAAAGACAGATTATTTGTAGGTAACTGGACAGGTTAAATATGCCCCACCCTCTCCTAAAAGTCAAACAACAAATTTGGTTTAGGAAATCCCAAAATACTTTTAACGTCTTTAAAAGGGAATTCCACAGTTGATTAATGATTTGATTGTTCAGTTTTTTTAATGGAAGGCATTAAAAGTTGAGTACTTGGGAAAGTATCACAACAAAAATTCCATATGTAACAGGTTTGAGTGAGTCCTGAGAAAGAAAACACTAAGGCTGGCTAAACTTTGTCCTCTCCTGCAGCTTTACAGTTGTCAGTAGAGCTCAGAGGTTTTCTCAAACTTCTTCACTGTTTTCACTACTTAACACTGTAAAATTGGTTTGTTATAAGATGGGAAGCACTTCTGAAAACAGATTTTTAGTCTGGATCTCCTGCAACAGTTCACACGTTTGAGATTTTAGCACATTCAGAAAAGCTGCATTCCTTTAAACATTAGGCAAGTCCACACATCCAGCACCACCACCAGGCATTTAGACAGATCCCCTAACACAGGATTTACTAATTCTGAACTGAGAAGGCAATAAATGTCTCTCTGCCTACAACCTGACTCTTAATTGCCAGGCATACTGAGGTACAATAGGTGATTATATCACTTATTGAAGATGGAGAATCTGTCTGTAACATGGATTGTAACCAACATGGTTTCAAGTTCTTATCATCTTGGGTTTTTTTTCCAGATTTACTCTCTTCCAGATTTTTCACTCCACAATAATCTTTTCATCCAACAACCTTGTATGGAGTCACACAGTCTCAAAAGAACACAGCTAGGGATACAAAATCACCAAAAAAACAATGTACACTCCACTAATCCCTTCTATAAACTGCACCTCGTTTGAAAAACAGGAAAGATAACACGATAGATCTAGTTTTGCAAAAAAACAAGAGAAGGACCAGAGTGTTTCTGGAGACTGTTCTTAAAAACAGTGCCTAAAGTCCATGCATATGTTTCCAATTTTTTTCAGGTCATTTGTATCTTCATAGTAATGCAACCTGCCATTGACAAATTCTACTTTCAGCTGCATTTCAATGCCATTTGCAAAACACCTCTTACCACAACTCATAGATGCATTTCTTTTGAAATATCATTTGTAGCACATGGTGGAACAACTGCTAAATATTTAAGTGACTTTAAGAGCTTGTTTTCCAGAATGTTTAAGAGCTTAGATGCTTACAACCTACTGAAAGGCATGTCATTTTGGCAGTGGTGTCTTTGATATGAAAATGTGCAAACGCGACAAACATTTTCCCTCCAGAAGATCCAGGGCAAAATGAGTACCTGAAATGGCTACACAGTTAACACTGGGATTGAATAACATGAATTTGGCAGGGAAACTTTCAAAAGCCTGATGAAGTGTACTTGTGTTCAATAAGTCTTGCATTGTAAAAGTCAAATTGCCTTCCCAGAAGGGGCTGAAAAGCACTATAGACCTTTTGAGTAACCCTGCATACAGTAGAATATATATTAATTTCTAAATCTAAAAAACTCTCTAGTAACCCTGCATACAGCAGAATATATATTCATTTCTTAACTGGAACAACCCACACTCTTCTTCTTCACAGAGTCAGCAAGATTTTCTCCACTGCATTAAAATATTTGACTTTTCAGCAGTGTTCCCTATTTCACTTCCAAGCAGGATGAAAACAAGATTGATCTGTGAAACTGGGTGGAAATAAAAAAACTAACAAAACCACACCCTCCCAGAAAATCAATCAACTAAACCAACCAACCACCTCACAGGATGGAATGGAATACAAACCTCTCCAGAACCACAGGTGACAATGAAAGGGAGAAGTGTTTCATTGCATACAATGAAATGTGCATTGGGTCACAGAAATGATTAAAGGAACTTAGAGTCTCCTCCCCTTTCACACTGCAGGTTAGAGGTACTGCAGTACCTCCCACCTGCTGCTGCTGTCTCAGCAGAAACCCTACCAAGCAATGAGCCAATCATAACCATCCCTTAACTTCATATTTACTGACATTTACCCAGACTCTTTCTCAAAACATTAGGAAAAAAAAAATTAATTTGTAATGGAGATTTCAAAAAGGGGTGGGGATGGAAAATGGAAGGTAAAAACCTAATCTAATAGGCTCATAGGCAATCACAGAAATTTGCTGTGATAAGGACAAAAAAGATTTCTCAAAGAAATGACACAATACACAGAATTATCTGGACAGACACCACAGATACAGAAAGTTAAGAAAAGAGGAAGAAAGTTCTTCTGAGAAGTCAAAGATAAGCGTTACCCTTTGACTAATTAACTTCAAGAAACGTCTTCCTACTACGAGGTTTGAAATTTTACAGAAAGCCAATGTTATCCTAACCTCTTAATTATCATGGGACTACTCACATGTGGCTTTTCATGTGACTTCAATACCCTTTGTGTATTGTGAGTGGATGGTATTTCACTTCCATGAATTCCTACGTCATTTTAGCATCAATCCATACTTCTTCTAAGTCCTGTCAACACACACACATCTGCATCTATGCATTAACAGAAATTCCTGAACATGTGCATACGTACAGGACCTACTTAAGCAATCCAAGCCCCTCTGTTTTAACTCACAACAGGAATGTGAAATTCATCTTCTAGAAACAGACAGTAACTCAACAAGTTCACAAGTGCTCTGAGCTTTCCACCTCTTCTACCTTGGTGACTTACATAACTATGAAGCCAGCTTCAATTTACTTCAATTTTTTCTTTTTTTTTTTTTTTTTTTTTTTTTTTTTTTGTTGTGAGATTATGTGTTTGCAAGCTACTGACAATGGCAACTTGCTTCAAGTATGAAAGTTGAGCATTGTTCCAAAGTCAGGTTTTCACTGATAGGAAAAGCTCTCTTTTTAGTTTCTGTTTCTTTGGTTGGTTTTGGTTTTTTAGGGTTTTTTTGCTTGTTTGGTTGGTTTTTTTGGGGGGGTAGTGGGGGGGGGGTAATAAATAAAGAATATCTAGAAACACTTGAAAGAATATCACACCCTTTAAGACTGCCTTTGAATCTGTGGCCTTGCACATTTGAAAAGTACAGTGTATCTGTTGGTTTAGTTGTTCAAATCTATTAAATCATGTTCAGTGCAAGTCCTTTGGATTGCCTCCAAAATTCACTACATTCACAAGACTTTGATAAAGCACTCACAGTTTGCCAGGTTTATCTAGCTACATAATTTGTGCATACATCCAACAGCTTGAACTGCAGCTGTTGACACCTACCACCAGAGTTTTAATCTCTTCAAATATTCATTAACTACATTAAAACATACACTTGTCTCTGAAAGCTGCATAAAAGAGAAATCTAGCATTAGATCTGATGAAAAGTTCTGATACTTACACGGAGAAAACATTTTATTTAAACAAAAACGGCAAGTTGCTCCACCTAACCCTGCAGGTACCTTTTTTTTTTTTTTAATTTGAAACGCTTTGAGAACTTTCAGGCTCTCCTTCTGGGCGTGCCCAGACCTCCTGCAGCCCAAGAAAGCTCAGTGCCTGTCTGCTTGAGCAAGACCCAGTTTTCACTGCTTTGCCTGAAATCTCACAGCAGGGAGTGCAGCGAGCGCTCCACAAGCGGCACCATCCGCTGAGCAGGGCTGGAGCCCCGCTCGGGGCTCGCTGAGGCAGCCGCGCTCGGGCGGGGCCGCAGCGCTCGGGCTCCGCCCGCGGCAGCGGCACCGGGAGCGGAGCGCCGGCCCCGCGCGGGGCACCCAGCCCGCAACCCCGCACCGACAGGGCCACAGACACCCTGGGCACTCAGCAAATGTTTCTCTTCTCAGAGAACAAATTCACCTCACTCCTCTGCATTTCCAGTGGAAGAACTGTGTAACCCTG